CATCATGCCCCGCCCCCCCCCCCCCCCCCCCCCCCCACCAGGCATGGCAGGAGCCCAGTTCTAAACTGAAATTGCACATTAGTCTGAAGTCTCGTTTTTAGTCTGAACAAAGTTTTCAAACTGAAACATTTGTTTCCTTTATAATTAAAATATCTGTCTCTTAATTAAAAACCAGTGCACCAGTACACAGTACTGGTACTGTGTACTAGTACTGGTACTGTGTACTAGTACTGGTACTGTGTACTAGTACTGGTACTGTGTACTAGTACTTGTTCTCCACGTTTTCAAAAGAAAAGAAATTCCACTCCGTTCCGTTTTAGTTTTTTTTTTTTGTTTTGTAGCAAATGTTAGGGAGACGAGCGACAAACCTCCTTAAAATAAGAGTGTGTTTAGTTGAAAAGCGTGACAGATGTTTCCAGGACGTGGACGTGTTGTTTGAGGAGCAGATATCTGCAGCTGACAGATAGAACCTTCAGTGTTCTCCTCTGTTCTTCACCCTCTTCCACTGAGCTCAACACAGTGACGTGGGGGGGGGTTGTCTTAACTGCTGTGTGTCAACTTGTGGCCCTGGGAACCATGGTGCTCTATTGTTTGCGTTGAGATGATGAGGAGCAGTGTTTACTGGAGTGTGTCGTCGGTGAGGGCGGCGGCTGGCTGTGTGTGTGTGTGTGTGTGTGTGTGTGTCTCTGCATATGTGTGTTTGTCTCTGCATGTGTGTGTGTGTCTCTGCATATGTGTGTTTGTCTCTGCATGTGTGTGTGTGTCTTCAGGCCACTGGGGGAGATGTTCGTCCTGATAGCCAGACTTTGGTCTTTGTTGTGTCTCAGTCTTATTTCAGTAGCGCTGACTTGGTGACGGTGAGAGGAGCTGGAACTGAGCTCCTGTTAATCACACTGGATTCACACAGCCGGCCCAGAGAGACTGGCCTCCTGCTGATAACAGCCAGTGGTGGCGGCGACAGGTTTCACTCCTTCCTCCTCCTCCTTTTTCTCCTCCTTTTTCTCCTATCAACCAGAGAGGGGAAGCTGTGCCACGGCATCCCACTCTGGAGCCGAGGAGGTCGGAACAAAAGAGCTCCTGTTTTCAGGAGGCCATTACTCAGGCTGCAGAGGATGTAGAAACAATGGGCTGCATGAGATCTACACCCAGAGCCACATTCATCCAACAGCCAGCAGGAAACATTAGCCCCGTGCACTGACAGCCGTCCCTCGCAGTTTTTGTTCCGTCAACTTTGTGCTTTGGTGAATGCTTGAAAATGAGTCTTCATCGTGTGACAGCTGAGGTCCATGAAGGTTATGACCTGATAATAAGTCTTCATCGGTGATTTGATTGTGGAGAAAAGTTCCCAGAAAACAAACTGTTGATCTAAACAGTGCCCTCTGGAGGATGAGTCTTGTTCCTGCAGGTGCAGCGTGAGACATTTGTCTGAACATCCAATCACAAGTGAGCGGTGCCACGAACACTGAGCGTTTTAAGGATTGGTCCGGCCCTGGAGACAACACTGTTAGGTTGTAGCTTCACAGATTAGTTTTCTGCGTGCAGTTGTGCTCAGGTGTAAAGAACGTCAGAAAGAACTGGAATCTTAGTCACGACTTGAACGGCGACAGTTGGACCAGTCAATCCACTAGACATGAACAAACGTATATTTTTGGAGACAGCAGGTACAGGTCTGTCTTTGTCATGTTCTGCACTGAAACATGACAAACACAGACCTGAACTGGAAATAATGAAAAGTGTGAACAGTTTAATTGATGCTGGAAAATGAGCAGCACAAACGACGAGACGTGTTGATTCTCAGGTTTAAATCTGTCGCTCTTCAGTTTCCAGGATCAGAGAGACTTCTGTTCTGCACGTGTTTAAGGATGAGAGGAACTTGTGTGGGAAAAAGTTGAAACAACTGTTTTGTTGTGTATAGAAGTGTATATTGTTACATGTTCTTCTGGTAAGAAGAAAGAACGGGCAGATCAACTGTTTTTGCTTCTGATTTGTTTCAACATGACTTGGAGGAGCTGAGCCTCTGGGCTGCTGTCGCTGTGTTTTATTGCAGAAAGGCAGATTATGACAGAGTCTCAGCAGCGTCATAAATCCTTGCTGTGGCCTTTGCAGCGTTCAGTCAAGCTGGAAGAACATAAAATTGTGGAAGGGATAAATGAATCAGTCCAACATGAGTCAAACGCTGCACAGAGTTGTCAGCTCTGATTCTGGCCTGGACTTTTATACCAGTTTTTCTTGTAGTGAATGATTTTCTTTGAAACCTCAAAATCCTGAAGACAACTTTAAAAAGAGAATCACTGTATCCATTCTGTCTCTTAAAAATTATTTTTCGAATAAGTAATAAAATTTCTGCCATTCTTTTGAACAGTGGAAAATAATCTCAAATAAAAAAAGTCTGGTGTGGATGAAGAAAACAGCTGCTGAGACAGGTCTCTGCCAACCGTAACGCCTCCAGGAGAGAACGAAGACGGAGGCTGAGGGTACGGAGCCGGGGAACTAAAAAAACAAAACAAAACAATGGAGGAGTTATTAGAAAAACAGACGGTGTCTCAGCTGCAGCTGAAGACCGTCCTGGATTTAACCAGTTGGTTGTGTTGAAAAACCATCAAGGTCTTTGTTACCTTTTTTGCTGCCAAGGTCATTTTAGGTCATGTTTTTACTTCAAAATATTCTAAAGTACACACCAGCTAACTCATCTTGATTTTCTGCATCGGTTTTTTTTTTTTTTTGTAATTTTCAGCATCAGTGTCTGAGGGATTGAGATAAAACCTACAGATTTGTCTGAATATTTGCCTTGAAGTGGAGACTGTTTCATTATTCATGGTCAGTGAGCCCTTTAAGTGCTACGTCCTTTGTAACAGCACCTCCCTGGCCTTGAATTGTTATTTGTGTCTCTGGTCTTTGGTGTGGACTCCGGTGGCTGGGAACCAATAGAGTTGCTCGTTGTAATTTGCTCCGTGGGGGTCAAGAAGTCTGCCCACCAAAGGTCACACGAACCCAAACCTCAGAAAGACGACCTCTTCGTTTCCACACATTTGTAACGGCTGCAGCTCTGGAGCAGCAGCAGCAGCATTAAATAATTTACTGTTGTGGCTGATTGTTCAGGGAGCCTGGAGGAGAACGTCCTGTGGAGATCTCCTCCTCAGCTCAGCTCATGTTGCTTTGAAGGTCTGAAAATGTCCTTCTTCTCCTGAACGCAATTCATTTACAAATTAATTTCCTCCAAACATCAGTATTAATGATCTGCAAGAACTTTTTCAGCTGTGATTCTGAGCTGTACTGTAGAAAAGAGTCAGGTTGGAAAAACCACCAGCCAATCACTGAGCTGTGTTTTGTTCAGGCTCTTGCAGTTTTATTCATGGAGAGTGCGCCCCCTAGCTGAGCTTTGTTGTTGTTCTCATGCTCTTTTTGTTGCTGGTGAGGAAGAGTAATGTCTGTCCACGTAACACTGCGTAACACTGTGTAACACTGTGTAACACTGTCCAGCTCTGTGGGCTGTTTTAGAAGAATAACAATAGTATGGACTTTATTGATCCCATATTTGGGAAACCATTGTTTTAACAGCAGACCTGCTGTGACAGGCTGACTCTGGCAGGCACCAACTGTGTGGGAATCGAACCCTGGACCTGCTCTCTGCTTCTAATTCAGACATGCCAACTTCTACACTGTGGCACCGTTTTCTCCACAGTCGAACCAAGACCTGAGACTAACCTGGTGTCAGTGTCCTGGTTCCTGTGGCTCTGTTGTCTTGATGACCTGGTTCAAAGCTCCAACAGATTGAATTCACACTGATGATGATGATGATGGTGATGATGATGATGATGATGATGATGATGACCTTCAGTGATTAGAAGCTGCACAGCTTCACTCATTACGAAGCCTTTGGTCCGAGGTCGTCAGTGTGACAGCCTGTCGCTCTTGTAGGACTAGTGTAATTATACTTTTATCATGTTAACTGGTAAATATAATTAACATAGCAGTGTGACAGTGGGGCTGAGTCCCAGACCACATGTAGAACCAGAACAACACGTCGTGTTTTTATCTCACTGACGGCAAAAACCGGAAAAACCACTGCAGAGCAACAGGAAAACATCGTCATATTTATTCATCATTCATTAAACAGCATCAGTCAGAAAATAAAATAAGTCATGGTGAATCTTTAGTTTCATCCTCTGTCAGTTCATGTTGATAATCAGACCAGAGTTTCTAAGTCCAGAACGTCTGACTCTGCGGCTCCGTTTCTGACCAGGCCTCATGTTACGTCAGTCCACACAGTTGAAGTGACGTCAGGAGTGGAGGAGATCCAGCTGTGCAGCTGCACGAGAGCCGCAGGATCTGAGTGTCGTCAGGGTTCATATTTACCTGTTTAACATTCACATTAACCAGGTGGAAAAACATCCGGCAGGTCGTGGACACGTCAGGTACAAGGACGTGTGAATCAGAAACAGAGATGTTGTTCATGACTTTGTCAAAAGTCAAGACAGGAAGAGCTGTGTAACAGCTGTAAATCTGTTTATTCTGCAGTTTTACTTTCACTTCTCACTGATTTGAACTCAGTTTTAGGTCGGTTCACATTTGGATTATCACAGAGTTGACCTGTTAGGTCAGCAGAGACAGAGGTCAGCTTGGATTTGGAGCAGAGTTTATTGTTTCTGCTCCTAAATGTAACGTCTTCACTGTGACAGGACACGGTCTCAGAATCCTCATGAAAACTAAAGGAAAACACAAGTGACCTATTACAGATTGAACTGAAAAAAATGACATGTTTTTTCACTGGTCAAATCAGTCGAGATGCTGGCGTTTATTTCCTGATCCTCATTTTGTCCCGACCTGTTATTATGTCTGTGTGTGTGTGTGTGTGTGTCTGCCCTGGAGGTTGCAGCCTTGACTCAGCTGCGCTCCACTGAGTCTGCCCTGAGATGTCATGGAGGCCTCAGTGGAGCGGACACATAAAAACACTCTTTACCCTGGGAGATTTATTTAAAGTCACGGAGCAGCACGACGGCTCCTCACCTCTTCTCTCTCTCTCTCTCTCTCTCTCTCTCTCTCTCCCTGTTACGTCCAAAGTATTGCAAAAAAATAAAAACAAAAAACGAAAACATTGAAGGCTGTTTGACGATGCTCTGGAATCACTTTACTCTTTAGCTTCTCTCTTTACCTCTTTAAGGTCAAACATTTACCATCAGTATGTTTTGTTTTGTTGTTTTGGAAAAAAAATTTTGAAATTTTAAACATTTACCATTTCAGTCAGGAAATCTACCTCCACTTCTCCTAAGCATTCAATACTTCCACTGGTATGTCATCAGGACCAACTGACTCTCCACTCTTCATCCTCTTCCGGGCTTTTCTAACCTCATCCTCTCTAACCTGATCTTGGCCTCGGCCACTTCCCTCTTCACCTCCCTTGTCCTCTCTTTGTCCTCCAGTCTGTTCTCTTCTGTTCTGTTCTGTCACTGTCCCATCTCTTCTTCGCTAATCGTCCATAATTGCGATACTGTCAGAAATAAATCTGACCGTTGACCATTTCAATCAAAGGTTGATGTTAACATGTCGTAAAAATGTGATGAGCATTAAACCCACTCCACAAACGGTGGACCACGACCGGTGTTGAAGCGGCTCTGTCTGGTCCACAGTCCACAGTTTGCGTGTCAGTGCGTTGTTTCAGATGTGTTTACTTGTAATTGGTCTATAAAGCCTCACGTACACTGGCGGACCCCGACCCACACCTTTATAAATCTGTCCGCCTGCTGTGTGTTCCTGTTCCAGCCGCTGCAGCTGTCGACTGTGGTTCACACTCTGTCCCCGTCAGCTGTGAGGAAACAGATCAAATCCACTCATTTGTGCTGATTACAGAATCCTTGACTCCGTGTTCTTGGCCGCGGCAACAGTTTGGCTTCGGTTTGTCTCTGAAATTCTGCTGAGTTTGTAATTGCCTGACGGTGCCTCAGCAAAGGTCAACAGTCAGGAACAGAAGGATTTCAAAAGCAGCGTGAACCCAGAACATTGGCCAGTCGATGCAGCTGCTTGACACCGAGCCACTGAACCAAAGTCACCACATTATTTTAACACATGTGAAGTGTTGAAGTCTCTGTTAGTTTGTCTGAAACACAGAGGTTAAAGTCTGTGGATAAAAGGCAGGTTTGTTGTTTTTTCTCTCATGAATCTGACTTTCTCTGGTCTTTCTTCTAAAGTACGTCAAGATCCCAGCTCCAACTCCACAGTCACAGTCTGGGCTTCGCATCTTCTCATTCTACTTATCCAGTGACAGCAAGGATCAGCCTCAGGCCAGTTTTGACTGCATCCACCAATACGTCTCAAGGTAGGAAGGGATGAAGGATCATTCCCTTTTCTTTCTTTTTTCTTTTTCTTTTTTTTTTCCTGGTCAGTCTCCCAAGAAAAATAACTCCACAATCGAATCAGACAGAAACAGTTTTGGTGCAGTTTTTACAGTTGAACTGCAGGACGCCGGTTCCCAGATGACACTTTTTATAGGTCAACACTAATCAGCGCCACAGTTGCTATTTTCTGCACTTTATTTATCCCAGCATCACTGAAAGGCATGATGGGAAATGTTTCCAAACAGGATGGGGCAGCTGTAATTTCCTGTATATTTTCTGGGCTGACCCTTTCATTACTGAGCCCTTTGTTATCTTGTTTATGGGGTGTTTCGCTTTGAAAAGTGAAGGTTAGGTTGTGTTGCTGCCTCCTGCTGCCAGATGTTGAACTGCGGTCTGAAATGAACCAGGAGACTCAGATGTTGAACTGCGGTCTGAAATGAAACTCAGCAGAGAGGAACACAGAACCAGGAGACGTTTCCTTCTTTACTCTCAGATAAAAGACAAACGTTTGTGTTGGTTATGTTGTTATGACTGTGGAGCCAGAGTTTAACTTCTGTTTTTGGAATAAAAATATAAAAATCTATAAAAATCTTTGTTTTTATAGGTGATTTGATCACATCCATTTTTATCAGCTGCCTGTTTGAAGGCAGTACTTGTTGTGTACTAGTACAACAGAGAGTACTGCAGCGTACAGTAATGACCGTGTCCTTGTGCAGTGATGGACGAGAGCAGCTGGACGGTCAGGGCGTCATCCAGGACAAGATCACGGTCTGTGCCACAGAAGACTCCTATCAGGTGACCCGTGAGCGGGTGTCTCAGGTGGAGAAGGACAGCTGGAGTCGCTCTGCCATCGAGATCAAACCAGGAATCACACATCCAAGTAAGACTGCAGCAAAACAAATAAACTGCTTTAACCTTTGAGCTGAGGACACATAAAAACCAAAATAGAGAAATAATAGCTTCAGTTCAAGTGAAAAGAACATTTGCTTCGTTAAGAAGCGGAAAGGCAGACGGATCTTTGTGTTTGGAAGTGAAATACAAGCAGATGTGACGGCCGTGTCTGGGTCACGGAGGCCGACCAAAGACCAAATCGTGTCCACTACAGTGAAGGCTTTGTTTTCAGGTCATAGTTCAAATCCTCAAAGTCCTGTCGAGTCTCACTGCTGCCTCTGGTGGTGGTTTCTGATCAGAAAGATTTTTTTTTTTACTCTTTAAAACAAAACTGTCAATTTTGCGATTTCTTATTTTTTCTTATTTTTTCTGTAGTTTCTTTTTTTTTGCCTCCGTCGCAGCAGAAGGTGCAGTGAAGCTGAACTCTTGGCTTTTGGATGTAATTTGGAGATGATTATGTCACAGCAGCTGCTCTTAT